TGTATTTACTATTATACCGCAAACTTAATTGAAAACATAACACAACGCACTTACTACTTAACAGGTCAATACACTAAGACAATATGTAAATTGAAATACACAGAATACAATACAAAAATTAAGTAAACACAAAATTTAAAGATTAATAATGGATAGAAGCGACACTGAAGTACAAATAGACAGACATTGATTGTGGTAAACTGCATCTAGGAGGTAACATGTTCCAGCAAAGTTATTCATGCACTGCTTTAAACATGGCTGTCATGCATGTACGTAACATAGGTAAAATGACATGTCATTAGAGTGTCTGAAATTGTCATAATTTGAGTAGTTGAGCATTATCGTAAATTAAGATACCAAATTTGTAAAGTAGGAATTATGAAAGCTACTGATCTTCTGTAGCTGTTGGTTTAGAATTGCCTGCTGTACCTACCGTTGACACCACTTCTGTTCAACAGAATTGACGCCCACAAATGTCCATCACTCGATGAATCTGATTAAATGCGAGCTTACTTCTCTTGAGGGTGGCCGACCACCCGGACCAGTGTGCTTCAGTGGGTTTTTTTAATATGAAATGGTATCGTGAGAGAGCATTCGAAAGCAAAGTGATCCGGATCACCTAGTGTTCCACATCTATATCTGTCTGAAGTAGCTAATCTGAAGCGCCGTAAATAGCTTGGAAATGGTCCGTGTCCAGTAAAGAAATGTGTAAGATGAGCACTACTAGTGACCAGATTCAGACCAACTTTGGGGAAGAAACGAAAGGTTCTGCGGCCTGTGGTGGAGTTGTTCCATCTCTGTTGCCAAATTTCTAACATTTTAAGTTCGGTAATCTTTTTTAAATAGGAAACTGGTGCTTTTAGGGGTGTTACAGGCATATTCAAGTCGTTAGCTGCTAGCTTAGCAAGCCTATCGGCCTCTTCGTTTCCAGCAATGCCTACATGCGCTGGAACCCAGCTCAAGTACGGTCGTTGGGACTCGGGAATCTGATGTAGAGCATCCCTAATAATGTGGACAGAATCCGCTTTGCTGTTGAGTTCTTTAATGGCCAGTAGGATCGATGCTGAATCACTCAGTATTCTGACTGGTCCTGTTAGATTTTGCTTAATATAATCTAATGCTGCCTTTATTGCTACAAGTTCCGCCTGATATACACTATTGTAATCTGACAGCCTCTGTGACCAAGTTTGGCAGATAGTATTGCCTCGCATGACGCAGAAGCCGCTACCTGTGCCAAGCTCCGTTTTGGAACCATCCGTATAAAGGTCCCTTCAGCAACAAAGCTTACTATAGGGTCAAACTCCTTCCTAAACAATGGGGTTATAAGGTATTTCTCCCGCTTTCCTAGCATGCCTTCGTGGTGTAGTAGTCAGCACAGTGAGTCGGTATTTCAGAGGTTGGTGGTTCGATTCCTAGCGCCGGCTCTCTCCAATTAATCTAATGTCTCTACAGCGGCGCCCGAACTAAAAAGGGTTGTGGATGATGACTCTCCACACCCAGGATTTGGCGATTGGGTCCCCTAAAAACCCCACTCGCCCTTTAAAAGAGGGAGTATATACGGTATTTCTCCCGCTTTCCTAGCTTGCCTTTGTGGTGTAGTGGTTCTGCACGCTGGGCCGGTATTCCTGAGGTCGGTGGTTCGATTCCCGGCGAAGGCGTTGCTAAGTTTCCATCTTGCCTGCTTCCAAAAAAAATCCTAATGTCTCTACAAGGTTAAAATTCCCATTATTGGATTATCGTTTGAAATTTTTCTTTATCATACTTCAGCTTAAATTGTATTTTCATGCTACTTGTCTTCACAGACAAGTATTTTGTTGATGCCTTTCGTGCTTCTTAGTCTGGGTTACGAGTACAGAAAAGGTTAGTCACCTCGCTAGTGTAATCAGAGTGAAGTGGCGCTTGAAACAAAGAATTTCAATCTGGAATTAAAAAATGCAATTATAGTTAACTCAGCGGACAAATAAACGAAGCGTAAGTATCGAATTTCGATAGTTTTTAACATTTTGCAAATATTGCTTTCAGAACTGAGCTGTAATAACTACTGCCAGAATCCAAATCATCCCATTCCGAAGCAGGATTGGTTTTCTAAATGGTTACTAGGTAAAATAAGTTCTCGGATCTCGCTTCCAAATTGATCCTCTGTGCGGATGAATTGTCTCGCAAGCACAGCAATTCCTGTGAAATGTGTTGGATTAAGCTTCAAGCCTGCATTTCCGAGAGAGAAAAACTAAGTATTTTATTGAGTCGACAAATCGTTCCGTTAGATTGCTTTTCGCCTCTTATGCTTTGCTTTACTTTACATCATTTTGTTGCATTAACATACGCTTTTCCTTCCAATAACTATTTCATGCAAACGTAGTTTTACACGTTTTTGCTCTCAGTCATATACCTTCTAATTACACTTTAAATTATTTATGTTTTTATTTTTCTGCCTGAACTGATAACTAATAAGGAATTTCACATTTCCCAGTTCATGCTCTCCAGGGCCAATAGAGTCAAATGCAGATACATGTAACCAATCTGATTCTAAACTGGACAATCAGCTTCAAAAGTTCCAAATGGTTATGAATATATCTTATATTAAACTTGGAAAAAAGATAAGCTTGATTGGGTAAATTGTCTCAAACAAAAAATGGCTATTCGAGGATTCCTTATCTACCTTTTAATCACTACACTACACATATAAGATGATATCTGGAATATTTCCTGTCACGTTAAGTTTATTTTCTATTGGTTCTTGAGGTACATAACTCAAATATGTGATACTCCGTGAATCACATGAAATGTATGTTTTATTTTTTGTCTTTTCTTTCCCAGCTTTTAAAAGATTTGGTATTCTTTTTTAGCATAAACTCGTATTAAACTCTTAACAGACTTAAAGCGAATTATTGCTGTGTCTGAAGTTAGCAACAAAGACTTGGTTTTAAAACAAACATTTTCATTAGCTCAGAATTTGAACATAAAATGCAGGTTTCGTGCTTACAAATCAACCACCATTTGTGGCAAGGTTGTAAGATATTTCTCCCACTTCCCTAGCGTGCCTTCGTGGCGTAGTGTTTCTGCATACTGAGCCGGTATTTCAGAGGTCCGTGTTTCGATTCCCGGCGAAGGCGGTTGCATCTTTTTCATCTTTTCTGCTTCCAATTAACCTAATGACTCTACAAGGTAACTTAAAATTCTAGTCAATTTCAAATTTAAAACTAAATCTAGTTAGTAGCCAAAGGTTACACAACTGGTTTACGCGAAGATGGCTAAAATTTCTCACCAGCAATTTAAATGTCGGTAGCTATAACTCAAAGCCGAATAATAATTATCTATCAGAGCTAGTAACGTGGCCTCGAGAGGCAGAAACACGCTCTGTGTTACAATCCGATAAACCTCGCCTTAAATACTCTCTATCCTGATCTACATTCTCATAGGGAAACGGAAAGGAAAAGCCTACGTACATGCCATAACTGGTTTGAGCCGAGCTTCGCTGGTAGGTAACCAGACCTTGCTCCGTCACAAAAACTGGGTAAAAGGTTTTGGTATAAAGTTCAAAATTTTCAACTTTATGGCGACTAGCTATAGGAATCGACCAATCAGAGCAAAAGCGGGACGTCTATTAAGTGGGAAAACAGAGCGGGAAAGCTGTAGACATAATCCAAGCATGCGTAGATTTCGCTTTTCTAATTGGCTACTATTCAGATTGTGTTTCACGAATATGAACGAAACTCCCGCATTTTGTGCCTCATGACTATGCCTCTATGGTATTTATACCACCTTCTGAACGGAGCGTAACGTTCTAAATCATGATAACTGGTTAGATTAACATAACTGAACTTTACAAATTAAAAAATTCAAACGAAAAAATTCCAAGCGTAATATGAAAGGAATAATTCTTTTAAAGGTACTGCCAATAGTTCATGTTATAGAGCTAGGTAGCCGACAACTGGTGAACTATTGAGTCGTATCTCTCTCAACAGTTGAGCTACTCTGTACTTGCGATTGATTACAGTAATATAGCATACAGACGATGGTGCTTGCGAGAAAGTGAAACAGGTGAGCTAGTGAAACAGTAGCCTTCAGCAAGGCATTATATGTGATAACAGTAGTAAAATTGTTGTCATCAAAAATATACCAACTAAGGATTGCTTTAATCAAGAGAGCTGTAGTAAACTTTTTTTATTTGCTTTTTATTGCGGTTTGATTAAAATGACGACTACTTAGGTATGTGATGATAGGTAGATTCTGTGCCAATTTAATAAACTTCTTACTGCAAGTGTTAAGGCTTAAAAGTTAGTGTTGGTAGATCACCTATTGCCAATAAACTGTTCGCTTGAAATTCTTCCATGCCATTGACTGCTTAATGGACGTATGAGTGCATTTGTTTACTATATTCAGAATTTTTAATAATATTTCTTATAATGGACAAATATAAAGTAACATTTTGAACCGGATTAGTTTTTAAACTTTCTTAATGCAATTTTTATTTACATTAAAAGAAGATTAAAAGCAAATTAAAAGCTTTGCATTAAAATTAAAATACAGCTTCTCTTCCATTTACGTTTTACAACTGGTTCGATTACTTTGTAAATTTCAGTCGCATATTACTAAAAGAGCTTGCTGCTAAAAACAAGATTAAAAATTAAATCTCATGAATAAGTCTGTAATATACATCTGTAACGTAACCGAATTATATGAATTATCATCAAGGCAAATTTTTGCAGTGAAAACTGCGACCAAGTCCGTAAGCTTTAGTTCAATCTCATTCTTTTTATTGTATTTCTCTTTTACATGGCTCAACGAAAATGTATTGTAAATGTGACCAAAAAGTGTACCTTTCGGGTGGGGATTGATCAGCGAAATGATAATTAGAAAGTAGCGTAAATCTATATAAGTCCTGAAATGCGCGTCTGTGTGAGTACATGGATTCTACAGAATGCAAATAATCAGGAAGTGCCCAAATATTTAATATATATGAATTAAACTGAATAAGAGAGAGGCATTTAGATACATACCCCGACTGAACTCTCTTTAGATGATCTCTGCGTCTTAGCCTCTGGGCTCTGTATCGAAGTGCGCATATAACTGCAAAAGCTAGAACTGGAAAACAAATCACGCAAGACAAAATAGGAATGACAATGGGCCGTGGGTCCAGAGAAACTGAAAGAAGAAAATATGATTTGTCAGTATCTATAAATAAGAAACAATTTTCATACATATCGTAAATCATCATCATTCGCGATTTTTATTTATCAAAAATAAAAAAACGGCAAGTTTTTACTTGTCGTTTTCTTATTTTTGATAAGAAGATAAAAAAGATAAAAGGTTTTTGATAAGAAGATAAAAAGATAAAAGGTTTTTGATAAGAAGATAAAAAGATAAAAGATTTTTGATAAGAAGATAGAAGATTTTGATAAGGAGATAAAAATCAAGATATATAATTGGTAAAGCTAAAAAATAGGTTACCATACATTAAGAATTTTGCCAAGTGAATTATTTTTGGAGCAAACTAATAAATATGCACAAAGATAAATATTTAAATTTCTCGGAATGTTTCTCATCAAACTTTACAAAGTATAATATTTAGGCCTAATCTGAGGCATAGAATCGATACGTGGAAAAAATAGGTATGTTATTTGAAAAAAGTTTGATTTTGTATTAAAACGCTTATGTTGGGATAATGCTATGTATAAATGTAACACATATCCTAAGTCACGCTTTCGAGACATGAAAAACGCAAGTTGAATTTCGTCAATCGGCCCAGTAGAACGGGAGCTATAGAACTGTCCTCTTTTTTCTTCCCCCCCCCTTTTTTTTTTTTTTTTTACAGTGTGTACATATCAGCAAAGAAAACATCATGTTTCAGATGAATTCTGATGCATTGGTACCTATAGGGTAAAAAATCGTATCTTAATTTACGACATAAATTTGAAATGTTAAAAATTATAAATAAACTAGCGGAAGTATCCGATGCCAATTAAGCTAGATTAAGAGTAATGTATATAACAACAAAAAGAACGATACCGCTGTAATCCTTCTCTAATAACGATGCGAAAAATATAATTCAAAGTCATACATTTTTCAGTCTGATGCGATATAGAAACCACATAAAAAATTTCGAGACAATAATACACTAATTCTCTCTCATTATATCAGCAACAATGGCCACGCAGTTTTTAATGATTTTCGTCTTTCTAATCAAATAATTGTAAAAGCTCAAGTTCCATCCAATATTTCATTTATATTCAATTTTAGACGATTAAATGTTGTAATGTAAGGACAGAATAAAAGACTCTTTACCTGCAAAAAAATGATAAAATTGCTTTAAATTGAATTCTGAAGAGAATCTTTCGTGGCGTCTGTACGAACGTATGTACGTACGTATCTCGAATAACTCAAGAACGAGTAGCCTCAGAACGTCGAAATTTTACATATAGGACTGCTATAACTTGTAGATGTGCACCTCGTAGTTTGGTTGCAATCGGCCGCACCAAACCTATATAAATATATTTATACATATATCCACTCTGTTACTCGGCTCAGTGATCTCAGTTTCTATACACTTATATATATTTGTAAATTGTAAATTTTTTGCTTTAAAAATGATTGAATTATGTTGTTTTCATCTTCCGATTAAGGTTTTTATGCCTTTAGTAAATCTGTAAGCAATAGCTTTAGAATTATCAGTAATTTTAAAATTGTTTAAGTGCCGCTAAGCCAAATGATTTTTTTGATGGCGACCATTGCTTGTTTACATTTGAAACAGCAGGATAGTGTATTTGTTGCCAATCTAAAGAAACTTAGCTTCGCAACAACAAAGATAACGCCTTCATTTATTATTGCGAATTAAATCATGCTTAATCCTTTCTGGAATTTTTTCGAGGAAGTAAGTGTTTAAGATTTACTTCGTAATTTTTAATACAGATATTTTGAGTTTTTATGTATTTTTGCCTTGCCGCGAAGTGAGAACTGAATTAATTGAAAGAGAAATACTCAATCATCTGTGAAAACTGTTTCTTTTTTGTTTTGTTTGCTTAATTTCTTTTATACATCGTTCTAGGTTTATTATAGTAATATTTGAATGGAACATGTGGCAACGATTAGATAATTCTTTAAATGATATAAATTTTGTGCATTCTGAGTATGAACGAAATATAATACTGTTAAGTGAACCTAGCGCCAGAGTGTCGCAATGGCAAAACAAATAGAGTGAATTTTAAAGAATGCATTTATTCTATTGTGGTTTACGCGCTGTCGGCGAAGTAGATTTAATTCAATCCAATAAGTTTAAATGAAATGCAAGAAAAAATGCGTATAATTTAATATTCCGTACAAGGAAGTCATGTGGTGTACACATTAGATTTTTTACTTAATAACTCGGCTAATTAAAGTTGTACGAAGATGGGAATAGTAAATAAAAGAATAAATTTGAAATTTAAAATTCGTTTCTCTAAGTTAACAAGTTTGAAGGAAACATTATGTATATTTATAATTTGGTGCCTCTACGCGCGCCTTCTACGCTATCTCCAACGCGCGAGGCTGTTGCCACTCGGAAAAACGAGTGCGAAAATTAGTGTTTTCGTAGTTTTTACGTACTGGCGCTTTCCCATAATGTAGTTAAATTGGAAGATGGGAATAGTCGAAATGGCTTCCTACGAATTTTTGGAATTAGGAATAATGTATTTAATGTTTGGGCATGTTATTTTTATTTCATTGTAAGACTTAGGAATTTTTTATTAACAAACTCTACGATTTAAAAGCGAGTCGTGGCAACACTTCTCGAAATAAAGCAGATTTGTTTCTCCAGCATGCGAGACTGTTGCCATCGGAAGAAAACGAGGGCAAAAATTAGCGTTTTCAGAGTTTTTAATTAATATCTCTGATTTTAGCTATTTGTTGTTCGAAAAAATGGGCGTTGACCTTTCCCAGAACCCAGGAAAGAAGTGTAGAAAGTTTGCTGACGATAGCTATAGTAGTGACTGAGTTAATCGCAAGCAAACACACAGACTTCCTTCTTTATAGATTACAGTGAGTTACAAGGTATTTCTCCCGCCTTCGTGGTGTAGTGGTTAGCACGCTCGACGCGAATTCGAGAGGTCCGTGGTTCGAATCCGGACGAGGGCATTGCTCATTTTTCATGCTTTCAAAAAGATCCTGATGTCTCTACAGAGTGAAGAAACCTTTTCTTTCCTTTTACTTTTTTACCCTTATCATCGCAGTCATTATTATTAATATAAAATATTCAAAAAAGAGAAATGTTTTGTGTTGTTAAATGCGCTGAAAAGAGAAAGAACACTTTTTTTTTAAATTTTGTAATATTCTTGGTCATGATGATTAAAACCAAAGGCTTGTAGATGCTAACAATAGCAAATATGAAATCAAAATTGACAAAGGTAAATTAAGCAAGCAGAATGTAATTATTCTTAAGCATGTTATCTTCACACTTCGTATGTCATCATAATGTTATTACTCTTAATGCTGCTTGAAATTCTGTCAGTGTCCCTTTACAATTTGTACTTATCGGCGCACATGAATTTAGCTCTTTTTTTCAGCTGCACATGATCATGAACACATGCAGCTAATATATAATTTTATTATTTAAATTATAATAGCTAAATATATTATTTACACGTTTTAAAATATTTAATTAAACCAATGCAACTTACGTTTCCTGTGTCTTTATTTGAAAAATTTCAGTCCATAGAATACGGAAAAGTAATAAAGCAAAAAAATCACTATTTATGAAAGCAAAAAAAACTGTTTTTACTGTAACAATGATGTATGTTTGATATAACCTTTTTTTTCAAGATCTTATGATCTACTCAGTTGTGCAAAATTAGATTCAAATTATATAAATTTCTGTTTGGTTTAGTAATCTGATTTGATGAATTAAAATCATTAGACTGCTAATAATGCAGGGCCGAATTTTTTTGATCCGATGAAATATTCTTCTAAAAATTGATTGCTAATAAAAAAATTCTAAATATCATGCTTTAAAAATTTATCATTATTAGCAAAATCCGCAGAAGTAAAATCAATTGAACAATTTTTTAAAATCCTTAAATTTGGGAAACTTATAAATCCATAAACCTTTATTTTGGATCTATCTGAAACTGTAAAGATTGAGATCGAGACTATGTTGAATTTGACTGTTATAAAAGGATTTATGAGAAATAATCGAAGCTAAAATAAGTTTATGGAAAATTTTGAAAATTTTCGTATGAGATTTCACAAATTTGTGGAAATTGTGAAGGCGAAAATATGTATGGGTAAAAATTTTCTAAAAAATCGAACCAGTACAAGGGTTAAAAATTTATAAACAAACCAAACAGCAAACATTGAAATAGAATTAGGCAACAAAATTAGTCGCCAGAACAATCGCCAACTTGTTTGCCAACTTGCAACACTGAAGCAACAATCGCCAGCAATATTAGGGTAAATGGACCTGCCACTGTAAACTTATTTTTAATGTATTTGAGTTTCTCTCTCTCTTAATTCATGTTTTATTATAGAAGAGATGCTACAATTTTAGATACAACTTCATTAAAACAGTTTACATGTATACAGAATTCGTAACAATAATTAAAAATTAAAATATAATTTTACATTTAAAATGAGCTTTAAATACTTCAGATTCAAATAGTAAGAAAAGAATTTTCTACTCTATTATTTCATGGTAAATTAACGTGACGTGGATACTGGTAAACTCATTTTAAAAATACCTTAATTATTTAAGATGTTTATTCACTCAAACACTTGTGCCCTAGTTCATCTGCAAATATTCCCCTCAAGTGGCAACAATGTTCTTTGTTTGCTGAGACACAAAATCGCCTTGTTGAAAACATTAAACATCTATTCTATACATTTAATTAAAAAAAATAATAGTTAAATTTGTATATTAACATCTTTAAATTCAAATATTTTTGGGTAAAAACACATACAGTTTATTGAAATTCCTGTTGCTTTTCAATAGCTCAGATGTCTTGTTAGATTAAAGAAAAAATTTTAATGTTTCAAAACATAATCTTAAACATAGTCAATTTACAATAAAAATTTAAAGCTAATGTAGTTTTCCATTTAAATCGACAAAATAAATTTAATCTGTTATCTAACATTAAACCGATTTCCGAAAACCCACTTTCTCAGTTTTATTAGAGTAA